GGTTTAATTTAGGGGCTGAACCGTTTGGCTGAGGGTCACGTTTGACATTTTCAGATTATCAGTTATTCTTTTTTATTAAATGCTGCATCTCGATGACTTGAGCAACACAACTCTGTGTGATGGTTTCACTCTATTAACGCTAAAATTCTCAATTTAAACCAAACGTATGTAAGACGTGAACAGAAAAATGCTGATGGGGAAGGTTTGTGCAGACGTTTGTGTGATTCTAAATGTTGACAACGAGATTTGCATCGTTTACGCAAATCAGTTCCAAATATTAGTTATCGGTCTCCTTGATTACTAACAATCTGCATCAAGCATGAAATAAACATCCTAGTTTAAGAATAATATTCACATGAACATAACTGAAGCAGTCGTACTAAAAGCTTCTTAGATTCCTGCAAAAATCCCGCTGATTGTCATCTTCAGTGGGTCCCGTCTCCTCATCTGACTAATCAGCTGACTGACTTTAGCCAAAGCACTAAATAGTGAACTGTGAGTGTAACAGGTGCTGTGTTGAGTGTCCTCACCAGGCAGGGGCTCCTCACTCAGAGCAGTAGTGTCCACAGTTGAAGGAGGCTGAGCTATGTGCTCTGTGGGTGGGGTCTGGGGAGAACTCGTATGCACTGGCATCAGCTCTGATTGGAGGCTCCCCTCCACTTGGTTTTGGGTGGGAGTACTCTGGAGAAGCAAGGAGAAGGCCATCACCAAATGTAAACACAAGTCACAGCATTATCTCGTTGAGGTAACACAAGATGTGACCAGGAGCCGCTGGACACACACCTGAACGGGCCTGCGACAGAAACCACAGAGCAGGAGGCAGACAGAGAGAGAAAAAAACGAAATAATAAGCTCAACAAAAAAGCCTACCTGGAAGAGAAAATTGCTCCAAGCAGCATCCATTTTGCGCCACAGCGATGGAGATTATAAAGTCAGCTCCTGATTGAGATCGAGCAGAGCAGCCTTGGCATGGCTCGGATCGGCCCGGCGGTGATCGACGCGCTTCGTCCTGCTAAAGCTCCCGGATCCTCTCGGAAGAAAAACAAAGTCGTCTAGCAAAAAATATGTTTGTTTCTCTCATTGAGGTAGCCTTGTGCTGTCAATTAAAATGCACGCAGCTGTTGACTAATGCAGGCTGCGGTACACAGGCAGTGTGGAGCAGGCCAGCTCCAAGACGCGGCCCGTCGCTCCGGGACTTTGGTTTCTAACTTTAATTCATTTAACACCAATCCTTACTTTTAGAAAAAATCGCAACATCACACAACTAAACTACTTCCAAAAACAAAAATAATAATTAAAAAAAACCCAACAAAAACCCGCATCTGACAGAATCACACTTTCGCCACAAACATAAACCAGTCTGCGTGAAATCAATGCGTTTTGACGCACGAGAACAAATATGGGTTATAACACACGTATCTGGTAGCACGGCGGGTCATGCTTTGTTTTTAATTTATGAATCTATTTTTCCGATTTCCCCCAATAGGCCAATCGGGTGTTTGTCGAAGCCTCGTTGTTGGATTCAAGCCCTGACCCCGGCGAGCTGCGCTCTCGCCGGGCCGCAGCCTATCGCTCCACCTCGGCCGTTCAGCTGCGAGGATGTCATCTTTCTTTTTTTATCGCCCGCTCTCCCTCCTCCCTCCCTGTCTCTTTCTTCCTTTTCTTTTTTAATTCCTCTTTCTTCTCCCCCTCCTCTCCTTTTCTCGCACCGCTATGTCCCACTTGCTCTTAAAGGGATAGGGTTTCCTCTTTGGACACCCCCCTCTCATTTCCGTCTCCCAGCCGGAGTCCGTCCTCTCCCCTTCCTTCCTGCGCTGTCGGCCGACGCAAAATGCGCTCCAGTGTGGTGTGTTTTTTTTTTTTTTTTTTTTTCCTTTTTTTTTCTCTCTCTCTCTCTTCCTCGGGCCGAGCTGAACAGATCTGCGCCGCAGAAAAACAGCCAGAATGACTTTCCATTAACGGAGCGATGACAGACGCATCTTAAAGGGCAGTGCGCGCACATCCTCCCATAATAATGATGTCAGAGACTCAGCAGCAGCTCATCCACACCGACACACGAGCAGAGCTGCCAGCACGCATGAGTCTGCTCAGGAGGACACAGAAATAGTCATTTAATTCATCTTAAAGCAAAAAAAAAAAAAAAAAGTCAAATGCTTCCTGCTTCCAGCTGCTTCAATGTGAATATTCCGTTTTTCTATCATAAACTCACTACATGTGGGTTTTTATTGTTATTTATAGAAGATAAGTCAATTTAATGTCACTGTGGGATTTAGTTTTTCTTAAAATTATCATAGAACATCAGTATAAGTTCACTTTTTTGACATTTTTATTAATTAAAAGATAATTATCTAATTAGCTGGCTGTTTATATGAAGATAAAATAATATAATAATAATTTTCAACATCATGATAAAATGATGTAATTACATCAGTCAAGACAAGTCAGTTTGTTATAATAAATGCATTGTCTAAACATATTCAGTTTAATATGGAAAAAAATAAAAAATAAAATTAAGAAAGTGGAACTGAGATCTTTTAGTGTTTTAATAATAAAGAAAATAATTAATCAGTTTTCTAATTGGCTGCTAATAACAAACCTGTAGACAAACCTGGCAAGTTTTGGTTAAGTTGAAATGTTCAAATAATCAGACTTTTTTTTTTTTTTTTTTTAAATAGTAATGAATAAATGAATATATAATAAATGTTAGTTAACATTTTCTAAAGACATAGTTGACTTATTTAATGCAAACATTCTCAAATCATGTCGGAACGAAGATGGAAGATGTTTTTGATGCTTAAATGCTTAATTAATTATCTCAATAGTTTTTGATTTATGTAGAAAATAACTAAGAAGGTTGATGATTAAAAAAGAAAAATAGGGGCCTCAGCTAATGATCTATTGGTTCTGGATTATCTGATCATTACTTTACATCCTGGAAACTAGTGAAAGAATTACAGCCACAATCTCCTAAACAACAGTCAAAAAACATCTCAACATTCAGTTCACTGTCGTAGAAAATCAATAAATATTCCTATTTTTAGAATCCTGAACTTATGTACATCTAAAATAATAAATAAGATTTATAATTTAAATAACCTGAGGCCTTGACTAACCTGTCAATTATTTTCTCAAATGATAAAACATTTTTAAGAACGTATTATTGTCATATCCTGATCAGATGTTTAAAAAACAAACAAAACACATTTAGTTTTATATTATAGAAAACCAGGTGATACTCATGTTTGAGAAAATGGAACAGAGATCTTTTGGGCATTTTTATGAATAAAAATACACTTTAAAGGATTAATCAATTACCTTATTAGCTGCTGATACCTGCAAAATAATTGGGGACTGTCACTAAAGATTTGTTTTGACTATTGATCATAATCATATAAATTCATATAAAATAGTTTTAATGAGGTTTCACATTTTCCTAAAGCCACAGCTGACTAGTTCAGATGTTTTGTTTTAGTTAAAAACCACAACCATGTTGTGTTTAATATCAACAGCAAATATTCACATGTTATACACTGTGGTTAGATTTTCAATACTTCCACAAAGAAATAAAATAAATCCTTAAATTATAAGTCCATAATCAAATTAGCTGCTGATGCATATGAGATGAAACAGGATGATTTAAAGAAGCCTCGCAATTAAACATCTTCATAAATCACATCAAATCAGACAAATTAATGTGTTAATATCAATTTATTATCTTTTTTTTTCTTTTTTTAATTACTTTTTAAAACACCCCACTTCTTTTCCAATACATGTGTTAAGACCCTTCTTCCTTCCCCTTCCTCAAGCTTGGAATTGCTTGATTTGAATATTTAATAAGAATTTCAACCCCCAAAAAATCTCTGCAAAACACTGATGTGCCTGCTGCTGCTGCTGCTGCTGCTGCTGCTGCTGCTTCGTCCTTTGTCTTCCTCCGGAGCTGAGACTCTCTTCACAACCTCAAACAACCCCCCCGACCCGTCTAAAAACACAACCACACTGATTTCCACACTAAAAGGCCGTCCCGAACCCGCCAGTCTTAGTTTATATAAGGAGTTTATGCATGCACTGAGATTCCAACCAAGCATAAAGTAGTAGGTTATACAGGGAATTGTCTTGAGCTGGTGTTTCTGAGTCATACAAACAGCAGGGTGATTATCTTTTTTTTGTTGTTGTTGTTTCATTTTTTTTTCAGTTAAAATAACAATAATAATAAAAAACAACAGCAACAACATAGAAAAAAAAAAAAAATCTGATCTCCTTCAAGTAAATGGCAGCCCGTGAGAATGGAGGTAAAAAAAGAAAAAACAACTTTTGGGCCTCAGAAGCATCATGAAACACTGATCGGTGTCGTCTTCCTCGGGCTGCTGCTGTCACTGCTGCTGCGTGGGCACAAGAGGGTGCACCATCACAGCAGCTCAGTCGACGCCCGGCCGTTCACTTCTTCTTCTTCTTCTTCTTCTTCTTCTTCTTCTGCACAACGTTCTGCTCTGATTGCATGCTGCACCCTTCAGCATCAGATTATCAGCTAAACCCTGAACTTCAAAACAAATAAATAAAAAAAAACAGCATTTACATTCCAGTGGCCAATTGTTAGATTTTTTTTTGTTATTTTTCTCATTTTTTTGGTGTTTTTTTCTTATTTTTTTCTTCGATAAGCGTCCAGAGGAGGAGGTCAGAGTTCCATAGTGTTGTGTTTGCTGCAGGAGTGTCTTTTAAAATTGCTGTCTTTAAAAAAAAAAAAAAAAAGAAGTGGCAATATAACTAGACTTTACCGCTCGACACACATACATAAATCATTAACAATTATTAATAATCCCCTTATTAATAATCATTAATACCTTGAACACACACCACACCTGACAATGCAACAGTTTTATCAGCTATTTCTTCTTTTTTTTTTTTTACTTTTACTTTTTACAGTCAAAAGTGGGGCCCTTTGCTTCTCGCGAGAAAAAATGTGAACATGATTACAACAACAATTACATCAGGATTAGTTATGGTAATATTGACACCTATAGAAAATGCAGTTGGAGTTGTCGGCTCTAAATCTTGAATTCAATACTCATTTGAATATATCAAAATTACTATCGTTATCTTTGTTACTCTATAAAACCAAATGATTTGCTTTCGTTTTTAATATTCCCATAAATATGTACAGTAAAGATCAAAAATGTGGGACAAGTGATCTTAAATGCCAGTGAAACTTGGACAGATACGGTACATTTCAAATGTGTTTGGTCATGTTTACAAATGTTTTTTTGTTTTTTCTTGTTTTTGTTTTTTTTGTACATCTATCTCATGCATTGGAGTGACTCCTGTAGACACCTAATGTTTGTTTAGATACTCAATATGTCATGGATGCCAGAAAGCTCTTTTTTTTGTTTGTTTGTTTGTTTTTTTCTCATATGTATTTGTACACGTCCACACAAATATTCCTCCTCATCCCAGCGGCGTTATTTTTAGAAGAGTCTCTTGACTTTACAAACATTCTGTGTTTTTGTATTCAGCATTTTTAAATCATCTTGCAATCATCAAATAAAAACTTTGATGGCACGACATCCCTTTAAGAACCCCTTAAAGGCATTGGTGACGTTCCACTTTGTGTTTTTTTTTTTGTGTGTTTTTTTTTTATACACTTAATACAAAAAAATCAACAAAACATCAACAGTTGTAAATCAATAAAAAGTGTTTTCCAAACTCCAGCAGGTTGGAGACTAAAGTAACCCATCTTTTTGTTTGTTTGTTTGTTTGTTTTTACCCTTTCCAGAGTCCAATTTACGAGTGCTTGCTAGATAATATCTGGACACTACAGACTACATACACGTACATACACAATGCAACAAAACTTCCTTTTTTCCTCCTCCGTCCTCTCTCTTTCTCCATTCCAGCTACAGAACATCATAGAAGAAGACTCGGCTGCCGGCCAGCTCTCGGAGGAAAAAAAAGGCTTCAATGTCCCCTCCTTTCACACGTCCTATCTCACTTTTATACAGGCGGTAACAAAGATAAAAACGTTAAACAGAAAGCTCCTCTTTTTTTCTTATCTAACGACACCTTGATCCAGTGGTATTACAGGTGGTTACATTCCTCCCTCCCTCTTTTATACCTGTGAGAATGGGAGAAAGCCTCTCTACCCACCCTGAGTCTAAAGAGGCAGGGTGCAGCTCAATAGTGTCAGTTTGTCCTCTCTTTGCCTCTGATGTGATCTCTTGCTGAGAGAAAAGGGTGATCTCCCTAAATCCTCTGCTTCACAGCTCCTCCGAGAGTTGAGATCAGTGCAGGAAGGTAAGAAAGGCGGCAAGCTGAGAGTATTGAGATGCAACCTGTGATAGCTACCTTCCTAAATAGCCCCCCGCCCTTCCTGCTACCACCCTGACTGCTCTCCTCTAAGAGTAGGAGATGTGGGAGCCGTTGGAGATGTGCGAAGTGACTGAGGTGCTCCGGCTCAGGACGCCGTCGCTGCCCCCGGCGCCTCCGGGCCCCCCGCCGGACGCCGTCCTCCTCAGGGGCTGGGGGCTGTTCCTCAGGGCCATCAGGCTGGGGGCGCCGCGCACGCCCAGCCCGCCGCCTCCGTATATCCCCCCCTGCGAGGAGGAGGACGAAGAGGAAGAGGAGGACGGGCCTGAGATGGAGGGAGGAGCGGGCGGTGGGGGAGGTAGCATGGCCAGGGACTGGGAGGAGGAGCGCGAGGGCAGGTGATGGGAGAAGGGCAGGGGGTGTGGGTGGGCCAGGTCGCCGCCGGAGCCTCGCACTCCGGCCCACTCCCGCTCCCTCTCCTTCTCCCGCTCCCTATCTCGATCCCTCTCCCGCTCGCGGTAGAGCTGCGGGGTGCTCTGGTGGTGGTAGTGCTGGGGCAGGTGGTGGCGCTGGTGGTGGGAGGAGGACGAGGAGGACGAGGAGGAAGAGGAGGCAGAGGAGCGGGATGAGTGGTGCACCTCCCTGCCGTCCCGCCCAAGCCCCAGGGCCATGCTCAGGCCGTGGGAAGACGAGGAGGACTCGCTCCGGCGGTCACCTCCTCCGCTGCTGATGCCACTGCTGCTGCTGCTGTTGTGGCTGCGGCGGGGCAGCTGCTGCGAGGGCACATTCTGCGGGTGGATGCCGTGGCTCCAGTGGCCAGCAGAGCGGGAGCTGGAGGGTGGAGCGTTGGAGTAGCCCTGCTTGGGGTAGGCCTCGCTGGGGATGCCCGTCAGCGCCATGTTGCTGAAGCCCAGACGCAGGCTCTCTGAATCGAAGGTCTCGATCTCGCTGGCCTGGCGCTCCAGGAGGGTGCGGATACGTTCTGAACGCTCGTTCTGCAAGGACAACATCTCCTCCTCGATCTGGGAAAAGAGCATTAAAACTCATTTACATTCATCTTTAAATAGTGGTAAATGGACTGCACTTATATAGCGCTGTTCTACCGTAGCCTTTCGACCTTTACAATGTTTTCTCATTCACATACGCATTCATACACCAATGGTGACAGAGCTGCCATTCAAGGTGCTGCCTGCTGTTGGGAGCAACTTTGGGTTCAGTGTCTTGCCCAAGGACACTTCGACTGTGGAGCGGTGGGGGGATCGAACCGCCAACCTTAGGATCAGAGGACAACCACTCCACCACCTGAGCCACAACTGGTGGTACTTCGAAACAGTTTCAGTCTCATCCGGTGGCACAGGTGGCAGAAGTTGCCTCATGTACCTTACTCATCCAACCTGCACCGGCCTCACCACAAAATGTCCCTTGAGAAAGATTGTTCTTGCTTTATATGTCAACATAGTCTCCTTAAAATTCAACACACTTGGTCCATCGACGTTTGAGCTTCACTATCCCTTCGCGGAAGAAGGTAACATCTTGAGCCTCCAGATTCTCCTCAACAGCATGCATGACCTCATCATCACTTTGTAAATGCCAACAAGTCTGATTTCAGTTTGGACAACAGAAGACAGATGGTGCAGGTCGGATGAGTAAGGTACATGGCATACACATTTGGCTGCTTCTGCCACCTGAGCTGTGTGGACGGACACATTGTGCCAGAGCAACAGCACTCAAGCTGAAGGCTTTCCTCTCCTTATAAAGAAATGATGACAAACATTTGAGTTTTGTGGACAATGATTAAAGGCTTTATAGGATACAGTTATGCCCCAAAATGGGAGTTAAGCGCCTTGTTTCCAGTGAGGCCGAAAACTTTTTGAAGTACCCTTGTACAAGGGGGAAGTTCCAGGACTGGTGTCACAAAAGATTACAGACTACAAACTATGAGTTTTCCTCTTCAGACCATCAACCAGCACGTCTACAAAGAGATCCTGTGGTGTTTGTTTTGTTCAGAAGAGGTGAGAGTTGAGTTGTGGCAGGACAAGTCGTGGCTGCTTCACCATGACAACATTCCTGCTCACAACGCCCTGAGCATCCCACAGTTCCTGGCTGAGAAGAACATCGCCGTGCTGGAGCAACCTCACCTGGCTCCGTGGGATTGTTTCCTCTTCCCCAAGCTTGAGGGGTCATCAAAGGGACTCGTTTTCAAGACGTGGACAACATCAAGATCAAGGAGCTGTGGAGGATCCTGGAAGAATCTTTCCAGGAGTGCATGGCGGCGTGGCAGAGAAGGCTGGGAAAGTGTGTTAGACTCCAGGGGGATTAGTTCTAAGGGGAAATCTTGAGATTGTAGATTGTAGTTTGGATTTGAAATATAACTTTTGTGACACCAGTCCTGGAACTTTTCTGACACACCTTGCAAATTTGAAATTTGAATATATTTTGGAATGGACCGTTCTTCACCTTGGAAACAGCAGGTAATAGTTTTACCACAAAGTCAGCTCAGTGGCAGATTTGGAGCTTTCAACCAGCCACATGCTCATCTTCAGCATGAGCTGTCGTGGAAATGTTCACATTTCTTTCTGAGGGATAAAGTGCGATATGACTGAATTCTCCACAACATCTCGCCAGTGGATCTTTGGGGGGAGATTGTTCACTGCTATATTTAAGGCAGTGAATGAACTTTCAGTAGTGGTTTTATTTAGCTAACATGGACAAGAAGTCTGTAAGGGGGTACAGGAATAAATATTGAAGAACATCTAAGCTGACGTTGTGGTGAGCCTGCTGCAGCGGGCCACTGTGAGTCAGTGAAGCTGCTGCTGTCTGGGGTATACTAGAATACGCTTACATGCTTTAAGGTTTTAAAAAGACATTTTGTTTTCTTGTTACGTAAATTGCAGCACCTTTTCTAACCCTCTGATAGAAACATTTGGTTTTAGCTCCTGTCTTTTTAAGACATGCATGGGAAAAGCTCATTGATTAGTCAGCTGGTCGACAAACTCGAGCTAACGCTGGCTACATATGCAGATCTGCCTTACAGAGATGGGCCTCATGAGGAATTCTATTGCAGAAAATTGTGCATGGTGGTTAGACGCAGGAGATGAAAAGTTTTTTGATCATGATTGAACTGTGCCATGAATTGCACATGTGATATCTGTTGCAGTTTGTCGCAAAACTGTTTAAGACTGTATATATATGTAAATGTATATGTAAAGAGAAAGACTCCACATCCAAACGTTGTCCAGTCACACTGTCATAACCTAGACGAGCCATCCAGAGCTGCTGGAGATCCAGATAAACCTTGTAGAACCATTCCTGCATGCCAACTCTTATGGAGCTCGCCTTTGAAATCACTGCAGCTCTCAACGGGTCCAACTCTACGTAACTTTCACCTCTTTTAATAGTTTTTCAAAGTTGACCAATATGTGGTCACTGAAGAGGGAAGTTGTTCAAGATGAGAGGCGCAGTTCAGTGAGCGAATACTAAATGCTTCTATATTATGTTAACAACAACCTGCAGCTTTTCTTGACTTGCAAAACGGTCTTTTAAACTGACCAACATCATCGTGTCATTCATGGCCCGGCTGACCACTGTGCATATGTTCACAGGTCCCCAGAGGTGCAGGACTACACTTCTCTATAATAGTGGGCTACAAGGAAGCTGCTCATTCTTTGTTTGAGGGTCAAACTTGTCGAGAGGCAGGCGTTATGCAAATGATGCTACACGGTGGCAGAGATGAGTAACAGAAGAAACTTCAAACAAGGCGGTTCAGGCCAGTAAGGAGCAGTGCTTTCTGTGGGCGAGTATAACTGCCTTCAATGTGGACTTTGTAAGTTTGCAGACCTTTTATATGCACAAAAAAATCTATGACAGCACATGACAGGGAAAAACCCCAAAAACCTAACATGGGCTCTTTTAGTCAACTATAGAAGGCTCAACATCCAGTGGAGACAGAGAGCTAAAAGGGTTTTATGAAAACTCACAGAAGCTGTATTTAGCATCAGCAGTCCACTGTCTGAAGTTAAACGATATCCAGTTTGTGATCTTCTCTGTTCGGCTCTAATGAATTCCTAAAACTCAGCACATTCCTGCGCTACATTCTAAGGAGCTTTGCTTTCATAGAAGTGAGTGCCAAAGGACTCTAACCCTCTGCTCCAGCAGCGCCCGGCGGATGGACACCCTCTGCTCCAGGTCCTTGACCTCCCTCTCGTGCTGAGTGTCGGTGTGGATCTTGATCTTGCTCTGGTAGGCGTTGAGCAGCTCCAGCTCCTGCTGCAGCTGCATCCGCAGCACCTTGTACTCGGCTTCCTGGGTCTCATCCAATCGCAGCTAAGGGGCAAAAATAGAAGAGGGAGCGTGAGATGAAAAAGGGATTTTGCATGACTGTAGTAATTTCTGCTTTTGTGTGGACAAGGTTAGAAGAGGAAAGGTTTGGAAAGTGTGACAAAGAGAAGAGGGGAGATGCACGAGAGAGCAGAGGAGAAGATGGAGAGTTGGTGTAGACTGGTTGGAGAGCAGTGTTTGTTTGATCAGTGTGTGCCTGCATGTGCAGTCTGCTGAAGTCAACATATGTTTACAGTTTATGTGAGACATTGTCAAACTAAATCCAATTGATTTTAAGCTTTAGAGAACATTTCACTGATCATCTAAATCCAGCCATCATTAGAGACTTTGTTGATGTAATAATTGTAGAAATGATCTAAATTAATCAATATAGTCCCACAAAATGTTGCACAGCAGTGGAATGACTTTGACCTGTGTTAAGCCTTAATTATTATTTTTTTAAAAACATTTAAATATATAAAAATATATATGTATTTTCTAAAGACCTCAGGATTGGGTTTAATCAGAGTGTGGGAAACGTTCCCAAACAGACTTTAACCACAGCGTGAGGAGATGTTGCGCGCAAACAAGGGCAGCAGGGATTTGGCTTACTGGGCTTACATGGCACACTGCCATGTGAGGTAATTGAAGTAGCACAGGGGGTTATGTCATTGAAGAGACATTTTTTGCTCCGTCCCATCCTCTTCCTACGAGGTTTCATTCATTTAAAAGCCGGGGATTTGTGTGTGTGTCAGCGCCACACTGAGCGGCTGCTGGATGGCTGAGGGGAGCTTTGAAGGGGCCAAATGAAAGTTAGTGTGGAGGAGGATGAGTCTCATGCTGGACTATCACATGTAAAGGTTGTCAATATTGGCTCTGAACGGGATTCTTCACTTGGAAAAAAACAACATTCTGCCTTCTGACATCTCAACTCAACCTTGATTTCAAACTTCTTACCGCTGTTGACTTCAGACTTCAGCCTCAAGTTAAACAAGTTGAGTTGAGCTGAACACGAGTTCTATTAAAGGTGTGTGATATATTCAGCTTTACCATAACTTCAGCTGTGACGCAGGATGTTTGATCCTGACTTATTCCAAACACCTTCTTTAAAAGAAAAAGATGTTGCAGTGTAGATACGATCTCTACTTACTGTAGCTGTGACATTTAAGTACTGTACTCTTTGATTTAGTTTATTATACCCAGTACATTTTCGTGCACAATTTTATTTTAAAGCTTTTATAAAATATAAAATATAAATAAACTAATTAATGATGCTATATTAATATAGATTAAGCTATCAAGTAATCAGTGAATCAGTAATTACAATCTAATTATATGTATATGTTTAATGTTCTGTATAATGGACATTTTTATTTTGGGTATTTTAGGTACACTTTTGTACTTAAGTAACTTTTAATGCATGACTTTTAATTGTAATAGAGTATTTTTGTGCTGTGGTAGTACTACTACTTTAACTTGTGTTAAGTACATTACATTATAAAAACATTGCACAAGGCAACCACATGAGAAAATACACATTTATGGGCTCCTGAGAGCAACAGTTTTGAACTAATTAGATGAACTGAACGATTAATTATTTAGTTTATTGACAGAGAATTAATAGCAAACAATTTAGTCATGGATTCATCTATTATCAGCGTTTTTTTGTGGCAGTAAACGCAACATTGATTTGGTTCTCTCTGCTGGTCTGACATAAAAAAAAAAAAAATTTAAATATGTGAATGTGTTTTACACACTGAGCGATCAAGTGATATTGAAGATAAATGTCTGTTGCAGCTCACATTACAGTTTGCATTTGGTGGAATAATAACACCACACATGAGGTTTTTTTGTTGTTGTCTGGTAAGGACAAATAAAACACATTTTATAACAAACCAGCTGAATATCTAAAACTAGATTCTAACATGGACGCCTTCTACAAGACCATCTTCACAAAAAATAATTCAATTTAATTCAATTTTCAGAAAAAAAAATAGTTCCTGGGGGGCTGCTGTGCATTTTGGGCATCAAAGTATTAAATATATGACATTAAATATGAATTTGAGACAGGGAATATTTTTCTTCTTCCTTCTGCAAAAAGGAAAAAACACACAACATCCCACAATAGCATCTGTTCAGTTTGTAACATGAAGAGGATTTCACTTCAAACCTTTGTAAATCTTATATATATATATATAATAGCTACATGAGAGCGGTGCTGTTCTCTACTGATTGTACACATCCTTCTGGTTACAGAACATAGAGGGTGCAACTGCAAACATGTAAAAAGTTGTATGAAGCCATGCGAAGGCCATGGACACATAAATATGCAAACATACAGATAAAACTGACTGTATGTGCTGCTGTTCTGTGGCTTCACATCGGTGTTCTGACTCCTGAATGTATGGCTTTCTTTACAACATTTATCCTCTAAACCTCTAGTTGTCCTTAAGCGTGTCAAATTCCATCAGAGCTGTCATCGAGCTGTCTTCTCTAGAGGCTAGAAAGTGATAAATTCTCCCATAAATTCAGGGGGAAGGGGTGCTTTGGAAGAGGAACTGCACAGAACAGGATGGATCATTAGCTGTAAAACTGGGAAGTGTGAGTTTAGGTAGTGGGTAGACACTGGAGGACCAGGAGGAGGCTGGTTGGAAGGCAGACAGCAGGCAGGCGGGTGGGTGGGCAGGAAGACCCCCGAGCCAGGCAGGACAGCAGTGGTGGTGGTGTGGTGCGAGTGTGAAGGGAACGACGTCTCCTTGCCTTACTCACAGCCTGTGTGGACAGCATGTCATTGATGGAGTGGTCATACTGCTCGGCCAGGATGGCCAGCTTACGGGTCTGCTCATCCTTCAGCCGCTTCAGCACGGCCTTGTGGTCCGACTTGGGCGTGTTCTCCAGCAGGTGGTTGCGCAGCGCCTTGTACTGGCGGGTTTGGATCTTGCAGGTGTCCTGGAACTGACGCTTAATCTGAAGCTCTTTGGACTGGAGGAGAGAGGAGAGAGACGGAAGCAGCTGGGCTCAAGTGCTCCAGTGGTTTCATACACAACAACACTGTGATGGATGGATGTGCCGAATGAAGGAAATAAAAATGTGGCTTTTCACATGATGTTAAAGAAAATGTACAACCTGTAAATACCTGCTGAATGCTTCGTAACATCACGGCCAGACTGAAGAAGAAAATCAAAAGCCTTAAAAGCCCTGATAACACCTTTACAATACCTGAACAGTTTCTTACCTGGAAAGGTCTCAGATCTTAACATCTCTTAGTTAAACCGGTTTGGCTGTTATGTCACAAGAACATCCACCTGTTGTCTGTGTTTGAAGGGGCTCAATCAAAAATATTGCTTTAAAAAAATACAAATCAGTTGTTTGGCAAATCTGATCAAACCGACATCATCCTGGTGTTTGTGTGCTAAAATATTATCGCTCACGCCGTGAATCGTTAATGAAGAAAATACTTACACTAACATTAACGCGTCTACAAACTCAGGATTAAGGTGTACATCTCCAGCCAGGAGTAGCAGCAGGACTTTGAGGCTCTGCCATTCCCAGATGTCGGGGTGATAGACCTGCTCCTGCCAGTTCTGCTCAGGCCTCTTTGAGACCAGATTAGAGTGAAGGATGGAAAAACCAAACAGATGAAGCTTTGTGGATTCACCTTTGGATAAGTTATCTGAACTCCCCCTCTTACTACAGATGATGAGAGCACCACAAAGTAGAACAGCATTAAAACATAGAGGCTGGAAGTGGAGCCCAACCAACCACCCCTCCTCTCAATGGCAGCCATCTTGTCTTTCACCTGAGTTCTTGTCTCCATTATTTGTATTTTATTATTGACGGCATTTTCCGTTGTGGAATTCTTGTAAAAGCTACAAGTAGCAGCAAAACAAATTATACTTTACACGTAATTACAGCTGAGAAGGACTGAAACCCATGAAACATTCACTTTACCTGCCACTAAAATGACAGAAAAAGAAACGTCCTGTGTTCACTGGTCTATGACTATGAGGTGAATATGAACCAGTGCACCAGATTATTGTGGATTTATGCCACAAAAATGTTTTAACTCTGCAACAGAACGGTTACAAATGGATGTACCGGCTTCAGAGCAACACAGGTCATTAAAACGCTTCATTATGTATGAGAAAGTGTTGACTACATAACGTAAAGGAAAATGTTTCAAGGACCAATGATCTGTTAGTTGGTTATTAAAAGGTATTTTTCATACATGTAATCAGTGAGAATAGAAACATTTTTGTATCTCTGTCAGGTGCTTTTAGCTGAACAAGGCAATTTAAACAGAATGTTTCGTAAGACTCACGATGTTAAAGCTTCAGAAAAATTTACAGCAAAAAATAGACTGAAAGTGGAGTGTGTTCAGAAATATTCAGTTTGACTGTGAAAGCTTTAAAAAAAGATAAATCTGATGCAGAAAAATAAAGTCCTATTGTTCTTTTAACCAGTTTTTAACTCCTTTCTGTGCATTTTTCATTATTTATGTATTTACGTGTTTTCATGCACTTTTTATTTATTATTTTTGTTTTTACCTGTGTTTGCCCTGCCTGATATTTTACCTGATATTTTATGTTCTACCTGTCAAAGCACTTTGTGAATTGTTGTTCTGGTAGATTAATCGCAGCAAATGGACTTGTTTGAGTTCCTTGAAGACGTTTCACCTCTCATCCAAGAGGCTTCATCAGTTCTGACTGACTAGTTGGGAGTTCCAGATACTTATATCCTTAAGGAGCCATTAACACCGGAGTTTCCGTTTCTCTGAAATGACTCCTTTAGGATATAAGTATGTGGAACTCCCAACTAGTCAGTCAGAACTGATGAAGCCTCTTGGACGAGAGGTGAAACGTCTTCAAGGAACTCAAGCAAGTCCAGTTGCTACGATTAATCTACCAGAACAACCATGACCTGGATGACTGAGAATCTTCACAGACTTTAATTGTTGTTCTTAAAGGTGCTACACAAGTAAAGTTATTGTTATTGCTTAATGTTATGGACTAAACATTAGGCTGCTGATACGGCATACAGAAAACTGAATAACACGTCCCACTTGCAGGGTTTGTGCGCCTTCCGTATTTTCCACCTTATGTATGAATAATTTCCCAGAACCTGCTTGAACTATTTCTGGTGGACGACAGACAAAAGGGCACAACGGGTGACAACAGATACAACAAGTGATGATACAGGAGGAGCCACGATGAAGGAAATGGAAAAGGAATCTGTCTGTGCAGGGAGGGAAAAAAGTAAACAAAAGAGGACACGGTAATAATGGAAACTTAAAAAAAATCATAAAAACAAACAAAGACAATGATTTCAACACAAAAGAATTTATTTTTTTTTGTGTAAAGAAAAAAAAAAAAAAAATCTGGAAGTGACAAAATGTTCTTCTATGCTTCCGAGCACACAGCCGTACAGGACGCCAACACTCATGCAGCTAAAATGAGAATAAAAGGACGACAAAATGTCTGCCGAACAGAATGCAGTACTGGTCTGATAAATACTGCATAAATTAAATATTTAAAAAAAAAAAAAACCTCAAGGTGATATAACTCTGTGGAAACACTCAGACAGCGTCGCAACAAAACAGAATGCAAACATGTAAACATACACAGAGGACCAGGAAGTAACACAAATGTAAATCAATGGCAAAATAAGTTACATTCAAATAGAACAATGTTTGTCTCTTTTAAAGCCAGACTTCCCAAATGCAGGTCATCGAAAAAAAAAAAAGAAAACAGAAAAACAAAAAACAGTGCCCTACTTTTTGTCTCCCCCGGGTCATATTACAGTTCAGACTGAGCTTTTCTACTCACTAATATTTCTCCATGTGAGTCGATCCGACGTCTGTGTGACTTTATTGCTGCACTTCTAAGCACTGATTCTCACTCTGGTAGATTTCACCTGGTTTCACATTTATGCTCGTATGTCACGACTGCAAACGTTAATTTGGTTTGACTTCATTTGAACAAACACGTTCTGGTGTTCAGTAGAGACAAAAGCAGCACTATTAAAGTTTGAAAATCTGGAGAATGACTGTTGCTATTTAGCTACTGAGCATGTTTTGACAGCTTACATGTGCCAGACTTTCTATCCATCTCGATCCCACTGCCTGCTTTCCCCCCCGAATGTGCACAAACTGGGGTCGATTCGAGCCTTTTTGTTTCCGAGGGTCGTGTACGAACACCAGCGCACAAAGACTAGACAGCTAGCGGCAGAAATAATCGCTGGATTTGGCAAAAGCTGTATTAGATTTGAATGCTCGACCTTTGACTGGCAGCTTTCCTTTTGGTCTGACTGAAGTGGAGCAGAAACGATTAATTGATCTGTTTGGACATTTTTCATGATCAGTTAATCGTTTTAGGTCATTTTATAAGCAACATTCTCAGATTTCTTCTTCTTTCAAGACAACATTTGCTTTTTTCTCCGTCATTTATCAGCAGCGACTCAATATCTTTGGTTTCTGGTCAAACTCGGTGAGCTTAGGTGTGACGTGCATTTTTCACTTTTTTTTGGATGTTTCACAGGTTTATGAAAATAGATGAATCAATAATATGACTAATCTAACCTAAACCAAAGTGACACATTCTCCCAATCTTGGTGCTTAAAAAAAACAAAAGAAAAAAGAAAAAAAGGCCTTCAGGACAGTGCAAAAGTCAAATCAGATATTATTGGATGTCGGTCTTCTCTTCATGTCATAATGAGCTGCTCAGTCTTGACGTCCACATTCAGTAGTTTTCATCAATCTTTGTTTATGATTGTTTGTCTCAAAAGATTGTCTGTATGGCTTCATATAAATTAAGATATACGGAAACATTAAATAGGTTTTATTATATTATACTTTCACTACTCCAGACTATATCCTGGCCTCCTATGATAAAATTTTGGATATGTCACTTCACAACTTAACATCTGTGCAAACCGTTGAAGCTAGGCACTACTACGCTGATCTGTAGGGGTAAAAATGTTTACATGGTAAATCATAACAAGATTATTGCATCAAGCGCAATAAAGTAGAACATCTAACTAAGATGTTGGCTTCACCAGCTGTATATATAAAATGATATCTAACTGAACCCAACATTTATGGTTCTATGGAAATGCTTCATGCTCCAGCTAAATGGCCCCACACCTCATGATAGGTCCAACAAACACCTTCTACTAACTATTCCATACAGTGGTCCAACATATTTCTACTCAGCTCTTTATTGCACTTCTATACTGGCTGAGAGCTAGTGTTCAGGGCGACGTTAGTGAAATGACTCCTTTTCCTTTTTCACAGTATTCAGCTTCGGGGAGTGAAATGAAAAGCGGTGGAGCTACGCAACACTGTCGTATTTGTTCTAGGCACTGAGAAAACAGTGCAGCCTATGAAATAAGACCACTATAAAGAAACACAAACAAAACATTGCACAAAAACGGTCTTAAAAATAACCATAAAAATATTTGTCTTACAAATTAAGAGCAAAAATAATAAAATTAAAGAAACTTTAAGGAACTTTTACAAAAAGCACAATAATGAAAAGTTTCACTGGTTTTGGTTCAGCAGCTGTGGGTTCACCTGCTTGTTCATATGCAGACCTCGCTGGTTTAGCAGTATGGCTTGTGTGCACACGAGTGCACAGGTTTAAAGAACGTCTGCAGCCAAATCACCTTTAGCCAGCACACACACACAAACATGTACATATTGTGTGTGTGTGTTGGTTAAATATGGCTCATTTTTAAGCAATGTCACCAACAACCAGTTTGGGAATTATCTAAGAAGAGAGACATGTGGGCCCAAACCAAACAGACACACAAACGATTGGACGATGGTCACACACACGTATCACCAGCATGTTTGTTTCCCACATTTCCCCCGTTCGTCTCGCTCTCCTGCTATCTCCACGGTCGCATTTTCCCCCTGACAAACCTTCCAGATGAAGTTCGCCTCAACCCGCACTCCCACCTCCCCTCCTCACGAAACATCCTCACCCTCTCCTCCCTCCTCTGTCTCTCCCTCTCTCTCCTCCTCCTCTCCGTCTGCCTCCTCTCTCTGACCTCTCGGGGCAACAACAGGGGCAACCTGCTCGGGATCTCCTTCTTTAAGAGGCCCAGAGTTTGGAGTCTGACCCGAACGCTGAGCGGCAGCTTTTTAAGCACCAGCTTGGCTAGTTTTAGCACTACGGTGTTAGCGAGGTCTGCCAGGACCCCGAGGGGGCGTTGACTGAAACGCCTTCCCCAGAGCAGGCCCTTGGCCACCAGAGAGGTGTTGCAGCAGCGAGCCTGGTACTCTAACGGCAAGGTCTTCAGGGGAACTGGGATTCTGGACTGGCGCACACCCCAGTTGCGCCCTGCTTTGGGAAACATTTCGTAAAGATTGCGCTCGGCCATGCCGCCCAGCACTGACTGGCACATGGCGAACAGCGGTCGCGGCAGGCGGAAAAGGACGCGCATGCAGAGCCGGTTGACTTTGCGCGGTGCGTGCTGGAAGAAGTCACGGGCCGGCCTGACAATCAGCACCACAACCAAGTAGAGGGAGAGGAAGAGGGAGGGGGAGCTGAGGAAGGAGGCTGAGATCAGAATCATGGGGATGTAATAAATCCCCAAACTGAGGGAGAGTCCTAAGCTGAAGAGGCCGCTGGCCCAGAGGCTGAGCGACAGGTAGGTGGAGAGCGACAGGGAGCAGCAGGAACGAAGGAAGAGGTACGAGAAGAAGAGCGCCAGGAGGGCGAGCTCAGCGGAGAGGAGGACAGAGGCCACCGAGGGCAGCGGAGGTGAGCGACGGAGGGAGAGGAGGAAGATGGAGAGCAGCAGCAGAGTGAGGTTGGAGGGTTGGGCAGCAGCAGAGAGGGAGAGGAGGAGGCAGATACCGTGAGAGAAGAGAGAAGGGAAGGAAGTCTGGGCAGGGGGAGGTGGGGGAGGGGGTGGGACGGGATCCAGCTCCTCTGAGGCGTCAGGGAAGTAAAACTCTGACAGCTCATCGATGTCTCGCTCGCGGAGACGTCTCTTTTCTAGGGAAGTGGATGAGATGAGCTCTGACGGACAACCGTCAGCCACGCCTCTGCCCTCTTCTTCTTCATCGGTGTCTACATGTGCAGTTTTACTGGGATTCTCCTCGTACTCCCACTGCACTCCTTCTACTTCCCTCACCTCTGTCCCCTCCTCAACCATTTTCCACTCATCTTCATCTTCTCTGCTATCATTTGTCTTCAGCTGACTGTCCTCGTCTACCTCATCCTTCATTTCAGCCACAGAAACTCCTTCCACCTCCTCTCCTTCTCTAAAACCTTCATCATCTACTACTGCTCCATCGAGCTCATCCCCAGCACCATACATCTCCTTCACTACCACCTTGTTCTCCTTTTCTAACTCGTCCTCTACTTCTACTGGCCCTGCCTCGCTGTCCCAGCTGCCGCTCTCCCCCTCTGGCGACTGGCTGTTTCCCTCCTCAGGAGACCCCTGGCTCTGGGTGCTCTCACTCACTTTGAGGCTCTTGGGCTGTTGGCGGACCTCCATGGCGTGCTTCTGACGCAGCTCTTGCTCACGCCTCTTGTTATACTCCATCTGGTTGGTGAGCTCCGTCTGGTGCTGTGTGCGGATCAGCTCGGCCCGCGTACGCTGCACCAAACTGAGCTGGCGGAACTCCAGCTCCTGGGTGGACTCGTGGTGACGCAGCAGCATGGCACACTCCAGGTCCTTCAGAGTCTGCTTTTTGTTCAGTTCCTAGAGAAGAAAAGGAAAAGGATGAAGAGGCAGGGAGCATATTGAAAGACTGCGTGGTGAGGAAACGTAGCAGCCTTCAACAGGACATGTGAGTAAGTGAGTATAAGAACTGGAACTGTGACCTTTAGAAAAGCCGACATTTATGTCCCAAAATAAAACACCACTGAAGGCTCAACATTTTATTCAAGGACCTTGCTCATGTTTTGTTTATACTGAAAATAAACGGGTATATTTTCAATCTGTGGGAAATACTGAAAACTAGTTTTACCAGTTATTTTAGGTTCAATTCAAAGTCATAAACAGTATTTAAATCTATGAATATTTTTCTGACGACAGTGTTTCTAGGAGGACTGAGTTGCTTTTCTAATGTGACTTTTAAAGCAGCACCTCTCTGAGCAGATCCTGCTCCAGGTTGTGGCGCGCTAGCAGCATCTTCCTCTTGTACTGGCGACACTGGAGCTCGTAGTACTGCCTCTGCCTCCGCAGCAGGCCGGCCTCTTCCTCTGCCTGCAGCTGCTGCAGACACTCCTTCTGGTGCACCAGCCACTCCTGTTTCTCCCGCTTTGGTGTCGACTGATTCTCATTAAGTTCCTTCAGTGGAAAGAGGTAGTACAGTATTAGCCAAGTTAGCAATATATCAAGCTGAAAGATCAGCGCAGCAACGTCAGTGTTATGATGCAACCTGAAATTCTACTGAAACCAGTTGGAGAAGCATCAGAAGACTGCAACCAATTTATGCGAAAGAGGAAGTGTGTTTAAACATCCTTCTCTTGCTGTGCTGGTCTAAAGCACAGCTCAGCTAATAGTTATGTAGTAAGGAGCTGATGGGTGACACAGCTCGATACAACTCAGAAGCACCTCTTTGAGCTGCTCCTTGCGTTGCCGATACTGCCGTTTCTGGGACTCCAGCAGACTGGTCAACTCCTTCTTCTGCTGGGCCAGGATGTGCTGCTGGAATTTCTTCTCCTCAGTCAGGACTGCCTTTGTCTGTAGAAAACAAACCAGAACATTACCATCAGCAATTTAAACAGGACAAAATAAAGAGAGAACCTCCACAGCGTGGGTCCCAAACTGCACCGACTCTTCACCTGTAACTATAAAGGACACAGTGGTTTGTCCCTCTCCATCATCCCATTTATTCCACACCTCTTTTCAACCCACATGCTGCATCAACGCTACTCATCTATCCCTTCGTTCTCAACATCACTTATACGACCACCAGCTCACCTCTTTCTCCAGAATGGCCTGGTGCTTCTTGTTGAATTTCTCTCCTTCCATTGAGAAGCTGTTCCTCTGATTCTCCAGCTCTTTGTCCAGTCTCAGCTGATGCTCGTCCATCTCTGCCTTCAGCTTGTTCTCCAGACCCATCAGCTGCTTCTGGTGCTGCCGCCGCATTCGCTTGTACCTGTGAGGGAAGGCAGAAGGACGTCAGCTGGACGGAAGAAGGTAAACTCTGACAGACACATTAATAACAAGGTTTTCACTTTACTTTGTTCCTTTTTAAGTTAAAAATGTTATGGGTGTCCTTATTCTTTCAAGTACAATCATGAGTGCAAATGAACTCGTCAAGTATTTGTTTTCTCTTCCTTTTAAAGCAGCATATGGCCTGTACACCAGCCCTGATTCCAAATCGTGACCTCACCCAGACATCTGCTCTCTGAGGGCCGAGCCCTGCTCGTGTTCCTGGATCTGACGGGTGACCAGGGAGGCCGTCCTGATGGTGGCAAAATGGTCTCGGCCTCGTCTACGTCTGCCCCCTCCTCCCCCACCGCCACCGGCAGATGAAGCTTCTCGCTGTGAGTCGACCTCTGGCTGATAGGGATCATCATAGATGTTGTCATGGCTCTGCAAAGAGAGGAAAAGGAGCACAAAAAAGATTTTAAAAACATGAAGAGTTACAAAGGGGAATTTTTAGTCTTTACTAAATGTCATCCTAAGACGTCACATGAAATACACTCCTCATTTAACTAGTCCAGTACTAATTCATTTGCTTTGGAAGCTGGTTTGTGTATGTGAGCCTGTTACCACCCAGTCAGGTGGTTTTCTGCTTCATTCTGTAGGTGGCAACACCGACAACTCTGCTGGGCAACTGCCGGCTAAAACTGGTGCTGCTTTTACTTTAGTTTCCCTCTAGGTGGTGCAAGTATGCATGTTTAAAACTGGTCTGACGACGGAAAAAACTGTTTCCCCTGTAGATTATCCACAACCAATGTAAAGTGAAATAGCTCAAGTCCTGCATCTAAGACCAAAAAACCCACAAAAAACCCAAAACAAAACAGATATTGTGCCACAAAGCAGTCGTCCAATGAAATACATTAAAAAATATTTTTACAAATTGAGTATTTTCATTTTAAAACCATTTTTGATCAATTATGATGTTATGACACCAGTGCTTGTTTTCTGATTGATATCATGTAAAAGGGGGACTGGGAGGGACGGGACTCTCAACCAGCGTATCCACCCACAGACAGTTTGGACTGACCAGGGGCTTGTGCAGGACGGAGCTGTTGGAGGTGACGGTGTGCTCTCCCTCCTGCATCATGGCCATCTCCCCGCTGTCATCGGAGCCGTCTGCCAGGCTGTTGACCGAGCTGCTCTGGGAGCTGGCGCTGATCGACATGGATGGCAGGGAGTGGGAGCTCTCCATGCTGTTGACTGTGCCAGTGCGCAGCATATACTGCTCCACATCCTGGCAGAAAGGAAAAAAGATGATGTTTTCAAAGCTTCTGGGAAAAGGCAGCACTATTAGGACGGGCTTTCTTTGCTCCACAGGGTGATAGTGGTGTATTTTTCAATTTATAGCATGCAGAAATTTGCTTATACTATAAAAAAAAGCTTTCCCAGCAGATGTACAGTAAAGTTTACATCATACTAACAGACACAGGTCTCTATTCTAGACAAGTTCAGCCCCACATTCTCTGAATTTTTTCATTTCCTTCTAGGGGAACAGCCAACCAGCATTACACAGGAACAAAGGCCTTTGTATGGAGAGGAAGAGGTTCTATGTAAGTAACTACAGCAAGTACAATACAAAGGCACGATGGATGCTAAAACCAGCTGTTTCAGGCAGCTCGTGTGTCCACAGTCTGACTACAGTCCTGCTAACTTTGTAATTCTGAGGCAATGCAAGCAGTTTTCACTCAACAAAATCACAACAATCCGATCAATACACTGACGTTTACAGTAAGCATAAGTGTTCAGATGAAACCCTGTTGTGGGGGTCCATATTTATTGCATAAGTCACCTTGCTACCTCTCTGCCTTCCCCCTCATGTTTCCTCTCAGCTCTCTGGGCCTCTTCCTCCTCCTCTGTCCTATTCTTACCTCTTCCTCGTCACCTCCTTCTGGTGCAGGACCGTTGTGTGCCTCATGAAAGAGGATTTTCTTCATCTTCCGGTACTGAAGGTTGTCCAGCTCGCGAACAGCATCCTTGGTACGTGCGATCAGGTCCATCACAACTGTCATGGGACGCTCTCTGCATAGGAAATGGTGCTGGGAGGACGGATGGGTCAAGAAAATGAGTGACGTGGAGACAGACGGGGAGTAAATTAATAAACACAGAATTCTGAAGGTGTGAGTTTCTAACTGAGTTTGATAGGTTGCAGGTCGATATAGCAGCACTGATACTATAGTAGCTGGCTATACAACAGATGATTGTATATTTACACTTTGCCTCAATTTTACTTGATCAAAGCAAGAATATTCTGGCAAATGATCCGTTCCCCCAACAGCAGCAAGCTGACCCGCGAGCTTTGCCAGTTTATGATGGTGCAAACAGTGAAAGCAAATATAAACAGAGACTACCAACAGGTGAAAAGAAACCTGAAAGATTTAATTAGAATTTCATTTCAATCTGATGTACAAAACATCCTCTGGGAGCACGGTTTGAGCCCCACACATAATGAGCATCCTCTTGCGACAACAATTAATATAATGATATCACGTTAAAATAATTTGTCCTCAGGTTGAAAGCTCTTCTGTCTTAGCTTTCCTCTTTTCTTAATCACAAAGATAATCCTCAACAGTCTAATAACACAAGCCTCCTTTTACCTTGAGCAGCACATCAGAGGTAGGTCTGTCCTGGGCGATCTTCTGCAAACAGGAGTCCACAAAATTGCGGAAATAATCCGACCTGAAAATGATAAAAAATGTCATTATAGAAGGCACTCGCGTTAAGATAGATGCAAACAGTCTGTAATGTTGGTCAGCTGCAACAACAAAAGATCAAAGCATTAACCTAAAACCTTTTAAAGATGATCTATTGTGGCAGTACAATGGAGCCAAACAGTATTGTCCCATGAGAAGTGTTGTGGGGTTTGTTTATAATGAACAAAGGTCCTTGATTCACTCCAAGAACATAAACATTTTGACCTCATCAGACTAACATTTTGATTCCTTTACCACTGATTTGTGAGTCACGGCAACAAAAGTAAATCAAGTCTCGCTCATATATCTTGTAAATTGCCTGGTAATGGTCTGTGAAATCCTAAATTCAATCAAGTCTTGTCTTGTTCACATAGCCTCAATAAGCTTTTCTTGTAAAACATAATCCATAGCAACAAAAGAAAACCATCCCGTTTGTCTACAACACTACAGACCGGTTCGGGAAGTTTCATCATCGCTCACCAGTGATTCGACTGCAACACAGGGCTCTCATTCTGGGCGATGTGGTATAAGGCACTCATAGCATTCATGTTGAACAGAGGAGGCTTCCTTTCCGCTAGAGATTGAAAAAACAAGGCATAGCGTGACAGAGAGCGGCAGATAAAGCGCAACATCACAAAAAAGAAAGAAAGAGAGAGAAAGAGAGAGAGAGACGAGAAAGCAAAGAAAATGGTTGGATGCTTTCATCTTTGTGAACACACACACACACACACACACAAAAACACTTGTGGGCCATTTTACGGCCATGCCTTACCCAGCTCTATGCAGGTAATGCCAAGTGACCACACATCCACCTTCCCGTCGTACTGACCCTCGTCCATGGCGAGGATCACCTCAGGGGCCATCCTGCATGGAGGAAACAAGAGCAGAGCTACAGCAATTCAGCCATTTCCAGCTCTTTTCCTTTGATCTTGGACCAACAGAGAACAGCACCTCGGGGCTCACTGTCATTTCCAACGTCCACACCACATGAACACACATTAGGAGGGTTAGGCTGCCTCATGTGCAGCAACAACAGGAACTTGTAGCTGCTGAATGGTGGAAAACACAAGTAGTGCTAAAAGATGAGCTGGAGGGATCGCTGCTACCAGCTGCTCAAATGCATATAGAAATATACATGGAAGTAAATTTAAGTGTGTCAAGGAAAATAAGTGACTGAGTTCAAATACCTAAATTTAAAGGCTCAGTTCTCCTGCTGATCAGCATCATTCAAGTTTCATTCTTCATGCTTTGAATAGATTTACATCCAACTTTCAGGCGGACACACCAAGATGGAATCTATTCGCTTCACTAAGTGTGACAATGACTGAAGCACAGATGTGTGTCACTGGTTATCTAAAGCTTAGAGCATTGCAAACACAACTGAGCGTACCATCACCTTTACCAGCAGCCATTCAGTGTAAGAGAAAACTTTTTTTTTTTTTGCTTTTTCTTTCACTTTAACTTAATGTTGCATTTAATTGCCGTCATATACAGCAGCAAACCCCAGGAACTGATGCCTGCCTGTGCTACAGTGTCATTACATCCTATTGAACTGCTTCACGTGTCTCTCTCTTTCTAAACTCTGTCCAAACTCAACAAAACATTTCATACTACGGCTGCATTACATTAAGAGGGGTTAAGCTAACATCAGAAATAAATAAATTACTGCGATAAATAGGCCAATCATGATCTCAACGTTGATCAAAATAATTGTGATTATTAGATGACAGCTGCTCTGTCTGCAGTGTGCCACCACAAGAGGCAACACAACCAGCCTGTTTGACCATTTAAATCAGCATCACACAGGTGTGTGTGACGACTGATAAGTCATATCTGAGTTCTATGCAAACCAAAAAATTATTTTCCATGGAGCTGGCAGTGTTACGGCGTGTGACAGAGGTTCTAGTTGGCTCAAACTCTAAAAACTGTCTTTTCAGTCTTTTTTCAGCCGTTTAAAATATATTTTTAGATTTTCTGTGCAGATGCGTTCCCTCACTAAATCACCCCAATCCCTCCAGAATTATGATTTCTTCTCGGATAGTTATTCAAGTCATCTGGTGAATACTCCGTTTTCATATCACAGTAAAACTAAATATCACAAAGTCTGCCTCAGCATGGACCTTCTTTTATTTTGGTAAAAGTTTGTTTGGCACAGTTGACGAATACTGATGAGGTTCAAGTTTTTATAAATCATTCACATTTACTCCAATTTTTCTAAAAACATAATCTAATGACAAGGACGACATGAGCAGAAAGTTTCATATTTTACCAGTAAGGTGTTCCCACGAAGGAGTTGGCTGGAGCGACGATGGAGGCAGAGCCAAAATCTCCCAGTTTGACCTGACCTGGCTCTGTGAGCAAGATGTTTCCTGCTTTCACATCCCTGGGAGAGAGAGAAATGATCCGACAGGAGAGAATGACCGGTCAGGAAAAACGTGAGGATGACAAAACAAATAGAGAGAGAAGAAGCATTGTTGGAGGCCGGGGAGTCGCAAGATGCACTGAAATGTGTTGCTGTACAGTGTGTGAGCACAAACACCATTGCATAAGCTTATCACAGGCAGCACAGTTTGTGCTTTCTCCCCTGTATTTGTTTTCTTTCTTGTCAGAAGTGTGGGGGAGGAGAGCAGAACAGATACAGATAGTGAGAAAAGAAATGGGGGTTACCTGTGAATCATGTTGTGAGAGTGAAGATACACCAATCCCTGCAATGCACCATGGGTTATGGCGGCTATTTCCACTTCCTGCAGGGGTTTCTTGTGAACTGGGTGACGAGACACAATAGGGGATGTCAGGCGTTGTTTGATTGAATAACTGTCTCATATAACTAACTCGTCAGTGTTTTGTAAACGTTCCTTTGTCGTTGTTTTTTTTCTACTTACCTTCTAAAAGGTCAGAAGCTGAACCCAAGCAGTACTCCATCACCAGCTACAAGAGAGACAGGAGAAGTGTTAAACTACAGTCCAGGAGCGTTACTTGACCTGAGTGGAAAGAGGTTTTTGTACCAGAGGCAGCGTTCTCTAAGATTTCACTACAATTATCAAAGTAGGAAAGCTGTTGTCAAACTACGGTGCAGCCTAGAAAAGTGTTCTCATGTCCACCTTAGCGTTAAAGATCAAGGTCTGCCATTCTGTACAATAAAAATACATATGTGTCAATATTACAAACAGACTTATACAACACAATACATAACTGCAATCATTTGATTTTTAACATTTTTTTTTTAATCAAATCCACTTTCTCATAGGACCGAGAACCTTCTGAGGACGTCTGGAACTAAAGCTGCGTTTTGGCAGGAGGAAGCAGACACTAAATTTAAATCCTACTTCCAGGTTCTGTTGTTTCAGGAAGTTCTGGAGCTGACCGACAGTGATCAGTCAAACGTCGTCTCTACATCTCGCTTACCGCTTCATAGACAAAAAGGAAGTACTAGAGCCCACTGGCATCAATTCTATTTTTTGATTTGCGCTTGTTTTACACAGAGACAGAGTGAAGATGAAGGCTTTAAGTCTTTTATCCTGTACATCTAATACAGTCATGCAGATGTAAACACAACGATGAACAACTCTTTTGTCGTATGAAAACTGCACTTCGAATGCCGCTCTTTTATAATCCGTCATTCAAATGCTTAAACCCTGTCAACCATAAAACCAGGCTGTTTATTGAAAGGCATGTTATTATCATCATAACAATTCTAATCACCATAAATGACATCATTTCACAGAACTAAGAACCTGTAAAACCAGAACACATCACTGGATTTTAACTACTTTCCAACCGTCCTGAACTGTAACCGTGTGTGACTTCTGCTTTCATCTGGGAAAATGAATCAAAGCTAAAGCTTATAAAAACTGGGATATTTCATAATCAAAATCACCTCATTCTAAAAGTACCACCTTCATTTAAAAAATCTGCCAAAAATAGTTTGGACGGAGCAGATTCTGGGCTTCTCAGCACCACCAAGAAGCTGTTGATGATTCAGCTGCAACTGGCAGCTATGTGGCAAAAACTCAGGGGCTGGTTGGTGTTAATACAGAGCAGATACTAGTATGGAATTTAAAATGTAAGTGGTGATATATCTGTCGTATGTAGAGTCACTTTTTTTTGCAGTGTTGGTAACACCTGTGGACACCTGTACATGTTGATTCCAGGTTTTCTCTATTTGTTTAGTGATATATGGCATTATAACATTACAGTTGTGCTGCTTCCATGCATGTACAGGACTTGTGAAGTGAACAACAGTGGTGCACATTGAAAACGTACACAGGAAGGTGTAAGAAACCTTTCCAGTTTCTAGCTTACTTCCTGGGTTTAGTTCCTGGTATATCTTGTTCAAAAAGGGCCATTAATGGTGCAAATATTTGCACTAAAAACGCTTGCAGGGAGAAAGCCTGCTATGAAATATGTTGCCACACTTCCAGGCAAGACTTGTGTGTCAGTGGGACCAAAGCATTAACATACTGAAAAACACACTGTGCACATATAAACCAATACAGTTTATTACAAAAGCTGCAGTAGGTCTGTACCGCACCATCACATTCCACTCACCCAGGCTGTGTGCTCTCTCAGGTAGCAGCCACGGTACTCAACGGTGTTGGGGTGGCGCAGTTTCTGGAGGAACTTCACTTCCTTGATGATATCCTGCCATTTCTGCAACGTGAGCAGAGTCACGATCACTCACGAGCAAGCTTCTCCAAACTGATCGACAGCAGGTGAGTCGTCAGGTCTTACCTCATTGGACTGCTTGCCGCTGTAGGACATCTTCTTGATGGCCACCACCTCATTTGTGCGGATGTCATGGGCCTAATGTGGAAAAGGTTAAGAACAAGACACAATAAATGAGTTAAAGCTGCGGATGCTCCTTAAACAGTCTTTCTATTCTCAATAGATATGCCTCTGCTTTGTTAAGGTTGAGCATCAACCGATGACAGCTGGCTGACGGCTCCAAATGCAATATTTTTTTTTTTTTTCACAAAGCACTTGCGAACGCTGTGATTCATCAGGCGTTTTTACATTAGACAACAAAGAAATCACCATTACATAAAACAAGGCTTTCTGCTCAGCTTCCTTCCTTCCCTCTCCTGTCCATCCCTTCATCCATGACTGGCTCTTTTTCACCCTTCATTAAACAGGGCTTTTCATCCACCGCTGGAAAGTTGTTCTTTGTCCCCGACTCACACTGTGTTTTTAGTTTTGCCTTCTCTCCTGCCACCTTTCATCTTCGGCTGACAGGTTTATCCACCTTGTGCTCTCATTCCAAGTGCCATCATATTTATCTTCCCTACTTTCTAACAAACACCATCTCTGACCAACAATATCAGATGTACCATCGATCGTCAGCTGTTTTCCTTTACTGTGCTTACATTTTCTTAACATCGGGCGCTCTGATCCGAGCTAGATTCATCACCGTAACCACACACATAATGGTACCTCGTATTGAATGATGTGAACAACCAGCCTTCTCATTATATCTATAATCACACTCAGTGGAAACATTTTGGATTATACCATGAAAACGTTAGTAGCAGCAACTATGTGATGGAGCCTGGGTTGCTAGAACAAACGAGAACCATCAGAGCTGTGACTGCTAAGATGTAGCTTATGTTTATGATGCAGTTGTGCTGCAGAACTTCAGAATCCACCTTTTTACTGGCTTCACCAACAGCATATTGTTGAGTTTTTGTTGGGGGCTGTTGTGTCTTTAGTTTGTGGACCCACATGAGCAGGGTTCTCACCAGCATTCTAACAGAGTAACGGCCCGTTACGCTGCTGCCTGAAAAAATTACGCTGCAAATTGGGCCGTTACATTGTTTTCGAGGGGATGTAGCAGAAAAATGATCATTTCTCTACACTGATTGGCTATAGCAGCGTTAGCAGCCAAGACGCTATGAAACGTCCATATTTTTCACAGACTTTGTGTAATATAGTTAACATCTACAGACTAGAGTAGACTATGTTAGGGATAAAGTAAAGACAAATGATGACAGCATCATCAAGACGGCAAAGTGGAATCACTGTTTAATACAAAGTCGTCATTCAGTGAACACCTGTAGCTTATGGTGACACTTTATGATCTGTCTAAAAAGTACATGCATGTCTAACAATATAATATGTAACAATAATAAGTAGAAGACGAGTATATTTTTATGTTTGCAGAGCTCATTTCAAAGCTTAGCTCTCACGTCTGCTGTAGCCGCTTTAACTAAATACAGCCAAAGTGTTGCAGCAGCCACTTCCTGAATTCTTTGTGCTCAATGTAGCCAGAGAACAATTATTTTCAGGGGTAGTTATATTTTCAGGAAATGTATTTTTTTTGCCTACATAATGCCAAAATAGCAACAAATTTCCATCTTAAAGGAGTAAAACATGAGGTTAATTTGTCTGAGCAGAGACAAGAAAAAGCCAATGCACTACACAAGATATTAATTTTCATTTCATTTGTATCACATTGTTTATACATGTATTGACAGAGTGACTCATTTTGTTCAGTTTTTCAGTTTATTAGCACTAAAAAAAACGCATCAGAGAAATATAAAGGAGACCACTTTCATGGGCATTCCAGGAGATGTGTTCAGTGTACGTGGCTAAAAAAACAGAATTATTTCCATATTCCACAATTCAAGAACAAATTTTGAACCCAGTAAATTCTCATTATGGCTTCACAATCTCACATATTGATATTTTACAGATGTATTTATATGAGCAAGTTGTTGAAGCTACAGACTAAACTTGCTCATTTCTTCATCAGGGAATTCAGTGAAACATTTCACTTGATGTATAATAATCCACCCAGAATGCATACAGCACAAATTTTAGGTTTGAAATGAATAGCTGATCCACATAATTGGTCCAGCTGTCAGAGCTTCAATACATATAATTCAGTTTTCAAATTCGTATTTAGTGGCAACAGACAGCTACTCCTTAGAGCCTCGCAACTACAATCAACGTGAAACGGTGTACATTGCTTAAATGAAAGCAAAGAAAGACGCATGTTCACTGAAGAGGTAAAGTGAAATAGTCATAATTCTACATGGAACAATAACACAGTTTGAGTTTAGCTTCGCACAAACCCGTTATTACAGTAGGTAGGGGCTGGCATCAAAGTGAAGGGCAAGAGCAAAAGAGCACATTAGGGGAAAAAAAGCGAGCCTTCATTCACTCGTTCAGTCCTTAATGGAGACGTGGAAGCAGACAAAAATTCTTTTGTACGTGTTGAAAAATGCAAACTGTGTTGGTCTCCTGTTACTTTATGTTTTACAAAATGAAAAACTGGGCAAATGGGAGGACAATAGCATGAAATTTAATAGAGAGGAAATATGTTAGTGCCATCTGCAATGTCTTCATGAATACAGTTCCCTATAATACAGCTGCCTGTAAGTGGGAACCTATCTAACCTGGATGGTGTCGATATTCTACAGCTATTACATTTTCCAATCATCATTTCCTTCATAGTGATGACTTAAAGCAAAAAAGACAACGAATGCCTGTTTAAGTTGTAGGAAATCACTTATATGGACAAAAAACTACCCTTAAGGGCTCTAACGTGTGAATTCAACCTTCACGACTACTGACCCAAACACCAAGGAAAAGAACTCACGAAGTAGACTGCTCCGAAGCTCCCATGGCCGATCTCCCTCAGGTCCGTGAAGAGCTTCTCGGGATCCTCCCTGGAGAACAGCTCAGCCACCTCCGGGTCCTTCAGGCTCCCGGCCCGCACACTCGACGGCATGGCCAGCGCCTGGTGAGCATGGAGGAGACACACTGGGTGAGCGTCTGTTATTTGGAAGGATTACCAACATTTGTGTCGGAAACACGAGTTGCCTAGGAAATCTGGTCTAGTCTGTCACACGCTGTATGATCGACACACTTGGATCTCTCGTCCAGAAGAAAAATAAATAAATTGTGCTCAACTAAAAATGATCAAAGTCCAAAGCACAAAAAGGACATTTTCTTTTAATCCTTAGAAGGAAATATTTGCGCTACATCCTTGTGTCAACCAATTATAGAGAACACCATATATATTATTAAGAAAAAAAATACATAATACTGAATTACTCTTAGTTCCACGACTCCACGAATCCCACCAATGACCAACACACCGGTCTGCGGCTCCATGCAGCATTTGTCGTTCCACTTCGCGGGATCGAGTCACTTTGGTTCATGTGTAAACAGCGTATCCTGCTCCTACAACTGCATTTAAAGTGTCGAATAAAATACCAATCTGTGCTGGCTCATATGGATGGAAAATATCAAAGTGCCCATCAGCTTCAAATGACCATCAAGCCACCCACCCATTCATTCATCCATCATCATCCATCTGTCTCTCTACCAGGAATATAGGGCAGAACAATACTGGCAAAACTCACCACTGCTGCATTTCACATTTTTACATTTAACATACTCAAAAATGATGATTTTCCAAAAATGTCACAGGATATATACAGATACTGCTTCTGTGGATGCAACTGGGAATGTAAAAGAAATGAACACCTTCCTTTTTGGACCACATAATCTTTTTTTATGCAATCCAAATATCATAAAATGGCAGATGCAGCATCTTTTTCCTCCAGCAATTCTTTTTGTAATGGTTTCTTTTATCTCCCTGACTCATGGAAGCATGATTCAAAAAAAAAAAAAAAAATCCATGCAAATGCTTTGTATTTTTAGTCAAGCAAATCATTCCTCTCCCACAATGATTCTGACTGGTCATACACTGGTCCTTCAGCAGCCTGCACACTTGACGACACGACCACCGCCATTAAACAGCAGCAAGCTGGACGCTGAAGAGGCCAGCGAACAAAACACAGTAAAGTCAGACTAAATAACCGAGACTTCTTGCAAGCAGTCAGATGTTAAGATGGTGAAGGTCTGATTTGTCTTTGTACACATTTAAAGTGCAGCGTTGATTCTAAGAGGACATAGTGTCCATCCCACTGGAAATACATGGATTAAAGCTGAGGTAGTGGTCATGAGGAGACACTAAATGGACATTTAATACACAATGCTGAAATGTTAAGGACGACACTGATGATTAGAATGTTAGAAATCTGATTACACAGTGTTGGCTGGGAAGGATTTTTTGATAGTGAAGTGCCGTCAGATTTTCAGGACTGATTTTTAGTAATCAAGGAGATTGACGACCTTTATTGGGAGCTGATGTACTTCAGAAGCAAAAATGTAAATCTTAGTGTGAAATTTTGGAAGACCAGAAAATGCCATAGGTTAGTCTATGCTTTGCATATGTTACAATACAAGGGGAACTTTTCAACATTTACTCTAAAGCGTTGATAGGTTATCACCTGTAATGTGTAATCAATCAGATAGTGCTGTGGGAGGGACACTGCTCAACATCACAGATTGGTAGATAGAGATAGACAGCCACATCAGAACCATATCGGAACCACATCAGAGCCACATCAGAGCCAAATCAGAACCATATCGGAACCACATCAGAGCCACATCAGAGCCACATCAGAGCCACATCAGAACCACATCAGAGCCACGGTAGCACATTCTGAAATAAACATATTTTATAAGGAATGCATTTCTTTTTTTAAACAAATGATATCGATCATCAATAAAATGCTGATTCTAGGATCAGATGTTGGCTGATAATCAGTCAACTCCTACTTGATGACCTTAGATCTGTCTTTTTTTTTTTCCTTTCTGTTTGAGCTTGGACTGAGAGGTGTGTTTTACAGCATTAGGGGTGAATTCAACAGTCCAGCTGCAGTACAAACAGATGAGTCCCTGTAAAGCAGCAAAAAACACATTTCTCAAGATAAAATCAAACTGTCAGGCAGTTTAGCAGGACCATGATTTGCCTGCTGAGCTGGAACAGTTTGACCACAAGATTTACCTGTTTTCAAAGCACACAAAACCCCAAACCACAACAAAGTTCGACAGCCCTATAAAAAGCTAATCAAAGGTTTCCTAAGCAAATATGGAGAAGCAGCACAAAGGAGCGGTGTTCATTACAGGTGTACAGTTTAAATACAGTAGCTCTTCTATGCTCATATTGATTGTATTGATTTTCTATTATGTCCTATGAGGTAAGGTAATATGACACTACATACTGTGAGACAACGGTGTGCTTCATCAAACTGTCGACTTCAAAAATCAACCAGAAAAACATCAAATGCTGTCTTTTTAACTGCTGTCATATCACAGCATTGCAGTATTTAATTCCTAAAATGGTTTTTTACATTTAGCTACAGCATCAAATTATTCTGAATTATTTATTGACTGCACCGTGATTAAAACACAACATGTGAGCTACTACAGAAGGCCTACAGAAAGGCACAACAGTCACAGTGTTTTAATACCAAACTTCAATCATTTGGGGCAGCAAATATCTTTTTGCAAATGGTCAACAAAGACACCGGTTTTCAAATCATCTGTGATGTTTGCGCACCAGAGGCCACCATTCCCAGCTCCCAGTGGTACACAGTGAATGCTCCTGTGTGGCTGCAGTGCAGACAGGAGCTGCTCGTTTGTGTGATGTGCTGTCTGTCAAGCAAACACCCTGGAAATCATGGGCTGTTAGGCTTTTTGTCAGAGGGTTAATGTGGACAACAGCAACTTAGCAGGTGAGCCGTCAATCTCTGCAAACGCGCTGAAACACAACATGCATCATTTGAAGCATTCCTGTCAGGGCCATTTTGCTTCTGCCAAAGAGGAAGCAATTTGGTTCCCTTTGAAAAATGAGAAGTTCTTTAAATATTGCAACAAAAGCCAAAAGCAAGCTCTTGATCTATTTTTTAAGAACCCATCCATGTCACACTCACACCAGGCACAAGAAAGAAAGAGGCAGCCAGTGCTGCAAATATGTGGCTCCATCCAACACCATCTTTCTCTTAGACCTACATGTAAATCATAATCTTGGAGCACCCTGGGCATATTGCAGAAAACAAAACGCATATTGTCCTTGGTTGCTCAGACAGAGAAGTAATTATCTAGATATGTGCTTGCCATCACCATCATGCTCAGTGTGCATCTCAGCTGAGCAGGCTGGATGGCTTTTGCACTTGGCTGGTCAATTAGGCTATCTTTGCCCACCAAAGAAATGTATTCAACAGTAGCTAGACAACAACTCCAGCCTGACTGGGTGTTCAGGGTGCAGGCCAACAACAAGCTTTCATGTCAATGTCAACGTCTCCAGGATGTAAAAAAAATAAAAAATGAGGCAGCTAATGATGCTAGCTGGCCTCTTCCCTGCGAACCGAGGCAGAGATGCGCATTCGGCTGCATTTCCATGTTGAATGATTTATAACATGTCTTACCGTGGCTTTTGGGATCCACTGTAGCTAGCTCAAGAGCTAGCTCACTGGCCTGGCTGGAAAATATTGGTCTCACTCCCCTTTCCTCGGCACTGGTGTCTATTCAACACGAACAAACCACATTCTGCCTGTCGACGCTTTTACTTAAACTCCTCGCCATCCTGAAGCTCCCAGTCAATTGGACAGCTAGCGCGTCTGTACGACTTGACATGAGTTAAGTGGCAGTCAGTTGAAGTGACAGCTAGCTGACTGACGCCTGCCTGCCTGCCTGGCTGCCAGCTAAGCTAGCCAGCCTTATCCAGAGAAAACCAGGGGCTAGCTCTGGCTGCTGTTAGCAACCCCGCTAACTAAATAACGTAACGCCAGGAGCTGCCCGGGAGGTTTTCACTGGCAAACTGATTCATTCAAATCCGAGGCTCGGCTCCCTTCTCCGCTTTGCACTGTCATTACGTTACTGCAGCCGGCGGATTTCATCTCCCGTTCGTGTTATCCCCATTTTGCTCGACTCTCATCCGTTTTTGTTCAGGACTTCATGATGGCGGAGCGGGGCGGGAGCCGAAAGGAAAACGGAACCGCTCTTCTTCGACGCTCCGGCAGCGGCAGCGGGAGCGGAAACACCGCCCCCCGTGGAGCAGACTGTCCAGGACACGAGGATTCTGGTGAGATTCTGCCCAGAAATACATTTTATTTAAGACGCTTTAATGGCAACATGACACACATATATCTAAAGTGAGATGAACACCAGAAAAAAGGTAAGAATCTGTTTTCGACGCTTAGCAGGAGCGCTTCTAGAAACTTGTTATAGGGGTGTCACACAGAAACCAAAAAACAAAGGTTTAGAGGGCTGGTTGAAAATTAGGTTAATTTGAGAGTTAGAAAATGACATTATGATTTGTTTTGTGTTCTTATTTTACAGTTAATGTTACTAAAATCTGATGCACATAGCCTTATGCACTCCAGGCAAAACATCCAGTTTATATATGAATTCAATATTGAAATTTGTTTCCATGTGTAGTGATAGTTTATTTAACCTCTTAAGACCCACACGCCTGGACATTACATTTTGGGTTATATTACCACAGTAGTTTTTTTTTTATTTTTTTTTATTTTTAATATTTGATTATTTTGTTATTATTTCATCATTACACATTTCATTTTTAAATATTTTTTATTTAAAAATATGTTTAACATATTTTTTAAAATATATGTAAAATATATTTTACATTCTTTATATTTTTTTTATTCCTCTTTACTATTTGATCAGATCAAGTGTCTGTCTTTGTCTTATTGTCTGCTTTGTTTTACCCTTTTCATTGTGATTGTAGCTGGATGTTGACAGAAAATGCACCAACAGATACGATCAGAGTGAGGACATTTGAACACCTAAACAAAGAGAAGTAGATCAGAAGGAACTAAAGCTGTCAAGTAAATGTACTGAGGTAAAAAGTAAATAATTTTTCTTTAAAATGTGGTGGAATACACATTTAAAGTACATCTAAGTGGTGCGACTGAGTAAACGTATTTACGTCTTGCTTGCCACTAACAATCAACTTAGAACCTTCTCCTCCTAAATCAGTCATCAGTGGATGTAATTTATACACGATCATCAAAATCATTATGAAATTAGAGGAAATGTGTCACCACAGTTTGGCTTTTAATTCTAATCCAAATCTCTTCGTTATTTCACTAAACAGCTGTCTGGCAAAAGAGACTAGTCAACTATTTTTTTTGTAGGGAATGAATACTTCTGGTCAGGGTAATGGAAGTTTTTAATCATCTGATAGACGCTTTTACTGTTTAGTGGTAGAAAAATGGAGGTAAACTGTATTTTACATTGAAAAAATGATATATATTGTGATGAAATAAATGATCTGGAAACACAACAGAGTAACTATTGATAGACAAGATAAATAGACTGAATTATATTTTGTGTCAAATACTGATTTTTTATTATTTTTTTTTAAAAACCTGACAAATAAAGTTGCTTATTGAGTGTAAAATCACCTAAAAGTCCAGTATTGCCACGAATCAATCACCGAATCATGCTCACTGATTTGCAGCATTGCCCACAAGGGACTGGTAATAAAAAAAAGAGAAATTATAACATATCAACAGTGCAAAAAAGAAAAAAAATAACCCCATCTCTAGTACATTCTATTGCTAGACTCTAATACAATCCATGCAAATCCACATAGAGCCGAATGTCTAAACCTTTTCAGCTTCAGATCTGCTGAACTTCTTAAAATAGTTTTTATCTAAACAATGAGTAACTGACCTCAATACTATGATATGTAGTGGTCACTGCCACTGTCCGCCCTCAGCCGACCACACAGATGTCAGGTCAGGGATGCGTCCATTTAAAGAGAGCCCAGTGTTTGGGATGACAGATTATTACATAATCCTTTCTGAGAAATAAGGACGCTATAGGAGGTTTGGCTGCTAAAGTCTGGCCTTACATAAGTGCACATGTGTGGACCATGTTGTTTACATTGACAGATGGATACGCTTTAATTGAAAGTTTTAATCTACTCGAATTAAAGTAATCTGAAATAAATTGTTCTAATAGCCACACCTTGTAGATGCTATGACATGATGTGACAGAAGGACATGTACATGACCCACCAGCATGACGCAGATGTTTTGGAAAACTTCAGACATCATTTTTTTACAACTGTGTCCAGCAAGTTTATGGGGTACATATTCTGAGACTTATTTCGATTCCTTTTTATCTAAATGGGTTTAAAATGTTCCTTCTGTCATGCCGATCTGATGGCAAACGATCTCGGCTCACACAGACATACGTCACCGCAGTCACACATATGGCTCGTTTGGCCCAGCGTATGCTCCGGTAATCCACTCACTATAATCTCAGAGTTGTGCATTTATAGCTGACTCACCACTAAAAACATAAAACTACCCCGTCACCTTGATATGAACATTATCATTCTCAGTTGCTCATCAGGCTGTAAAACTTCATAAATGACAATCAGTTACTATAATGTAGAAC